CTACGGTTTACGCCTTGTGCGTCCAGGGGGTATCGGCTTTTAGGGCTTTCTATACGGCTAAAGCCATTTTTACTGTCTTGTGGCTTTAGGGTTTGAAGAGGGAGTTTACTTAGACTTGGCAAGAGCAGACTTTCCTCGTCGGAAAGAGCTCAATGAGCCCTTGAGCTTCAGGCTATGGGCGATACTCCCGTGGGTGCGGTTCCGGGCAGCGCAGAAGACACCAGCCGCTTCGGCCAGGATCGTGTCATTCGTGATTTGCTGTTCGCTGGGTGGGATAGCCATGCTGTCACAGCTGAAGCTATTGAGTTACTTCGGCGATGGCAGCGGTAGTTGTGCTCTTGCTGCTGCGGCTGCTTGCGGTTCGATCGGTAGGACAGCGGTGCTGGTAGTCGTGCTTCAGCCGCTGCGGCTGTCATCCATATCGTGTATCAGTTGTAGCATTGGCGGTGGCGACTGGAGCAGTGTCGGACAAAGTGTGGGATCTCCAAGAGCCTGGGCTTACCTTCTCCGCTTGCCATCGTCCACTGCGAGGCTGCGCCAAAACTCGCCTGAAATAGTTTGTGAGAGCAGCCTGCATACCTTACTACGAGTCTCTGTCGCTGGATCAAATCGGTGCTATGCATCCGATCGTGATACTGGACAGCGCAAGGGATACATTGCATAATATGTTAGTACTGCTTGCTCTGGTTATAGACATCCCAATTCGTGCTGCGACACCTGGTCCATTCAGTGAAACACAGTGCTTCCGACGGTATCCCTTGGATGCTTATATACATGGGTGTTTGTTCTCACTTCATTGTTATTGTGCCGATTTCGGATTGATGAAACGGAAGGCTTCGGGGTTTGGGGTTGCGGTCTTACCAAAAGGAGTGTTGAGCCAGTTATTGGGGTTCTTGCAAACTCACCTGCAGAAAACGTGTGTTCTTGCTACGATTCCGATGCACCAGGTCACATTGCTGGTCTCCTACGGCGAACAGTAAGGCGCAAAGCTCCTTCCGCGGGTTCTGCTTCCATGTGTTGCATCACCTTCTGCAAGCCCGTGCTTTCACCCACCAATTGGGTCAGTTGCATTGCATATTGCAAAGATGGGCAACGATTTTGTGTAAACGTGCCGATGTGGTCACGGTTACGGCAAGCGGGTTAACATGGCAGAACACACCTTGATGAGCTGCTTTGAGCCACAGGGCTGTAGCATGCTATGGTAGGACATCCCGCCGTGCATTGATTAATTTAGTGCTTGAATCGGACATCACGGCTTTCTTCTGAGCCTTGTTCGACCTGTTTCTGGTGAAGCCGCCGAGAACCTGACATGGATGCACTTGCGTTAGCGCGATGAGCCGTCCACGCTGTTTGCACCAAAGTGGGGGCGCGGGGTATACGGCCTTGCAGGAGTTCTTTTCCACCGATCGGCCTTGCGCCAAACGATTTTGGAGAACCTTGGGACCGATGTGCGTGGGCTAGGAACATCGTGCTCAGTACTACAATTTTCAGCAATATCTGGTTCGAGGTCTTTTGCCATCGTCTGCCCTACCCAGCATGCTTGGGGCGCATCGCCCTCACCGGCGAGACAGGCATGTCACACTGTTGGCCGAGTGTGGGGCACGCTGCTTAAAGCATGGCAGTCCTGTACGGTGAGAGACTGCGGAGACCCTTCAGGCCAACGCGCCTGTGCCCGGCGCATGACAGCAAGACCATGGGCTAACGTGCTTGCTGGGGGTTTCTCTTACAGCAAATGCTGAGTCGCTTGCAGCAGAAAATGGGGAGGCCACTGCAATTTGATGCTAGGAAAAGCTTGGCTGTCGCTACCAGGTGACCTTGGACGCTTGTCCACCTGTCTGCTTTAGTCCATGTTTGCCCGTCACATAGCAGGCAGACAGACATAGGCAGACCACACCCTTCCCCCCGAGCTTTTTCTGGTTGCATGCATATAGGGCACTGAGTTACTTGCCTCTTTGCCCCACTGGCATGGATAGTTTGCGAGAGACAGTGTTGCTATTCGCACTTTGCCGTTTGCATTCGTCTGCGCGACCCTGCCTTCACCAGCGAGACAGGCATGCAACACTGTTGGCAGGGTGTGCGGCGCGCTGCTTAACACTATGCAGTCTTAGTACGGTGAGAGGTTGCGGAGACCCTTGAGGCCAACGTGCCTGTCCCCGGCGCATGACAGCTGCGGGTTTCCCTTGATTACAGCGTCGTTCCAGGGCTAGTGCCCTGCTGGAGTGGAAACTTGAAGCAGGTCGAAGTTAGCGGAGAAGAATCGTGCTCCATTGTACACAGGGTGCACACGGTTCGAGGTTTTGGGGTTACAGGACGCGATGCTGAATCAAGTGTCATACCTTGTCAACTCTCGATGCGGTATTGATTGGCTTTCGGGACTGGCAGAACAGGGAACACTCGTGGGGCAAGGCATGCTGTGTCATGGAAAGATGTTTTTTTGTCTGCATGACCCCTTGCTACCATGGAGCCTGCTCTGCTGGGTAGAAGCGACAACCTGCACGAAGAGTTGTCTCGAATTTCGCTTGCGCGCGCAACAGATCCGGACAGTCTCCTGTGCCTTTGGGATTCAGTGAGGCAGGGTCGTTAGCCGTCTTAAAAGCATTGTTTCTTTCCGTGTAGTTTCGGGTGTCCAGCCGTGACGTTTCTTGCGATTCACGGAGTTGTTTGATAGTGTTGCCTGAGTTGGTTCATGACTAGGTGTGGTTGAGGTCGATGTGCTGTTGTGCGATTGCATTGGGACCTCGCCTGGTTGTGTCGAGCGTGAGAGTCGAAAGCTTCAAACGCCCTGTGTTCAGGTTGCTGGAGCTTGGCTTCAAACCCATCTTCGTATTCGATGGCTGCCTGCCTGCATATTGAACCCGCAGACCCAAACCAGGAAGTAAACGTTAGGGTTTGAAGTTTTTTGACCCTGGCTGGGAGGAGTTGGTTCAAATCCCTGTAGACACGTCATCATGCCACTTGTGATTGTTATCATGCAGCTGGTATTGCTATCATTACGATGGCCGTCATCATTCTCAGTGACTGTAGTGTTGTTCTTTAGCCCTGACGGCCAACACGCCGAGCGTAGGGGCCTGAGCAATTCGTTATCGTATCCCCTTACAGTGCCTATAATAATGGCAGAACAAATCACAAAATTCTTTGCTTCTAATTCATGGTATTGAGTTAAATGCCTGGGTTGGGAGCTTCTACCAGCCCCGCCATGGAGCCGAGCCGGCTGCAACAGCCTAGCCCGACGATTTGGCACATGTCTACATGCATGCATGCCTCGTTGCATGCATGCCCATGCATGCAAACATGTATGCATCATATCATACATCATATCGCATGTCATTCATATATTATGCTGTTGTACAGTTTTCAAAGTGTAGGCGTTTACAAAGAGACGGAGAGAGAATGATAGAGAGGGAGAGGGGGAGTTTAAGGGACGAGATGGCACATGCCAGTGTGAAGTGCTTTTGGCATTTACATTGAAATCTTGCATGTCGAAGCCCCTGTTGCAAGCGTTAGGTCCTACATGCTGTTTGGTTCGCATGCCCCCAATGTGAGAGATGAAGGGCTAGGTCGGCTAGTCTCATAAACCCCGTAAACTGATGCTTCTCAGATCTTTTCTGTGCATCATGCAACTATCCTACCACGTATGTTGCTGGGAGGTGAGAAGCACTCTACCCAGAGGCCCCATAGTAGTTCCTTTTTGGGATTACCTTATAGGATTCTCTATACGAACCCCAAAAAGGAACTACTTTGGGGCCTTTGGGTAGTATCTGCAGTAATAGTAGGTGGCGGCGGGTAGAGTGCCACCACTTTGCATCAGCCGAGGAGATGCCCCAGAGCTGAAAAAGGCTCATGTGCCTGTGGCAGCAAGTGCCCAGAGACTCCAATATCCTTATTAATTAAGGAATATTCCTTAAATCATATTAGTATCCTACTATAAATTAAGGTATATTTCTTTAATTAAGGGATATTGGAGTCTCTGGGTGTTCCAGCGCTGGGCGTCTCTTGATAGTACATGATGCAGAAGTAATCTTGAACCTGGATGTTCGAGGCATGTCCGCGTCAGTCTACGATGGCAATAGGCTACATTGATTCTTGAACCCCACTCTGAATACTGTTGGAAGCGTGTGTTTTTTCATACTCGTACGAACAGATGCAGTGACAGAGATGATGGTTGTCCCCTGGTATCCCCTGGTTTCAGAAACCAGGAAGGACAGAACGAAATCACGCTACAGCATGCAAAAGTCAGTGCACCCTCTGTCAGATTGCACATCACACGTTTCTATCCCGAGGGACATGGCAATGCCATAGCAGATGTAGCATGTCATGCGCGGCATCGTTGCAATCAGCGCAGTGCCTTGTTCGAAGTCGGTGATACTGACGGACGAATGCTATGCATTTAAGCCATGGTAGGGTACAGACGTTAAAGCGTGGTAGTTAGCTTGGCACAGTGTGTTGTCAGGCGATGATATGGAAAGTCCTAATGGCAGGGGCATCTTTTTGCAAGCAAATGTGATCGTGGTAAGCGTTGCAAGAAGAACAAGAGTCTTCCGAAACCGTAGGGTCCAAGTCTCTTTCACCTGAGAGAGCCATTGGTTGGACGATACAGCAGTCACAGTCAGCACGGCTGTGTGCAATATCGAACACATGTTCCCGGGCCGGAGTCGACACGTCAAGTAGATGCAGATGATATAAGCAAATGAAAATACTGAGGAATAGGTCATTTATGCTTCACGTCGTTGTACTTGCTAAGTGTCTGCGCAGCATCATACCGAGAAACTAATGATGCGATGAGTTCGCGCAGCCAGCGGCTGATGCTTGTAAGCACTTTAGCTGAAGATGCGAGTTCTAGTGCAGAGTGCAGACAGCCTCTTAATCGTGTTCGTACAAGACAGCCTTGCAGTTCATTACCATGACATTGTAGAGGTCCTTAAACGCTAAACATGGACATGCAGACGAGCGCTTGGGGCCAGACACGACACGGTAACCGTGCAACACCCGCTTTACAAGCAATGAGCCATGATGATGGCTTCGGGTGGATCCAAGAAATCCAAGGAACACCTGGGAATGACGACGGCCTCGATCCATTGACTAAGGACCTGGATATACACGAGCTCCACGCGCACCTGCAGAAAACTTTCGCTGGGGACCCCGAGAGGGTGAAGGAGTGGTACAAGACGGAAGGATTCTTGTGTGGCTACCCGCTCCTACCACGCCACAAGCAGCAGCTAAGCGAGGAAGAAGCTGCAGCCCGTTTCCTCGAGGTTTTCGGCCCGCTTGCGGCACGCTGGGCTGCGATTGGTCTCGTCTCGGAGGCCTTTGCCACGAGCAGCCAGATTTTGACGAATCGCGATAGGTGGGGTGCAGCAGTGGCAGTCATAAGGTATATTGACGGCCAGAATGGAAACTGCATGTGGCGGAACCGTTGGGCCAAGCAGGCACGTGGCACAGTTCTCTTCGCGAATCCGGAGGACATGTGTGATGTGAGAGTACTGAGCTTCAAGCTCCCTCGTGGGGCAGAGGTCAAGACTTTCCTTCACACTGAACGGGGCGTGGCAGAGACGCAGGACTTTGTCGGAAATGCATATGACCATCTGGATGATTGGACCATTAAGACTTGCGACTGTCTCCGGATGGGAGGCAAGATAAAGGGTCACCTCTCATTCAAGGGTGATGGATCTCTCATGACCTTCACGCTGGCGACAGGAAGGGCGGCACAGCTGTGGCTGCCGATTCTGGAGTTGTGGGGAGGCCCTTGGGTCAGAGCATGGAACGACCTGTGCCGCAGCGTTTGTGCCGAGGATGGTGTGTCGGAGGCCCTAGTCTTGGTTCCAGCAAGCAACGGGGTGGCAATGATGGACGATTTCATGGTCAGCTACCTGACTACCGGACTCCTTGTGGGCACCGGTGCATGCACCCGCGATGCGTTGCTTGAGTTTGAGCGTCAGGGTGGGACAGCCGTCGATGCGCTGTGGCAGCATGGCGCCGAGTTCGTCCGAAGCCTTGTTCGCTTCCGCCTGGGAGGAGCTTCTGGGTAGTTGTTTAGGAATTTGATTTAAGTTACAATGGGGTTCTATATAAAGAAATAACTAACATGGTTTCCTTATTGTGGCAACTTAACTTACATCCTTATGATGGTAACTTAAACTGGATCCCATACCAAGAACCCAGGCTTTTGCTTTGGAGGAGACCGTTACCCTGTCCTTCGAGGTGATGGTCGCGCACCTGAGGGGTCTCTTCGGCGACCGCTACCACTCCGAGTTGGCCGTGAGCTACGACCGCGACCGTGCAGTGTTTCTGGGCGCCAGCTGTGCATCCCTCCAGTTCTACCCGCACTACTTCTTTGAGAACCCCTTCGAGGAGCCTCTCTACTGGCCAGTTTCGCACAGCGAGGATGTAGCCAAGATGCTGACGGCACTGGAGAAGCTTGCCAGGACAGAGATCACCAAAGAGGAGTTCCTGGCAGACTGCCCACCGGCTTCAAACAAGACTTGTGGGGATGCCATCATCGACTACGAAGGCTGGGTCTTTCACGTGAGTTTGGGACCCTGGGATGGAAACCTCGAAGCGGCCCCCGCAGAGAGCACTCCGGGCACGCTGGGCACTTTGTGTCTGGGTTCTTGTTACGCAAAGCATAATGCAAGTTACCAAAATAACGAAAGTCTTTTATTTCCCATAGAACCTCAGTAATGATGGGAACCCAGGTATACGAAGATCAAGACGCCACTCTACTACCTCTTCCACAAGACCCCGAAGAGCCCTCGTGGCCTCCAAGAGAGTTTGGAGGTCGCCCCGTTGCTGGGTTCTTGTTAAAGAATTTAATTTAAGTCACCGCAATAACGAAACCATATTATCTACGATAGATCCCTATCATGGTAACTTAAACCTCAAACCCTAAACCTTTAAATGAACCTGCAGACATGCTGACAATCCTTCTGAACTTACTGTATGCAGCTTTGTGCAGTGTTCATTGCTCGTTGTGCTTAGTAGCTGAGTGGATACACTTTACACTTTTTGGGATAATATTACCTACTCTCAAACTAAAAGTGTACACTTTTTTGGTGCTTATCAACTCAGCAACTAAACTACCTATAGAACCTTTAAGGCAACCTTTATGGTTCCCTGAAATGATGCCTTAAAGGAACCTGTGTTGAACTGATTGTCAGCTCCTAGCGCCGACCGCTCCAAGTACTTCGAACCCGGATCCCTTAGAGGAACCCCTAGAGAGCCTTCAGAGGAACCCCTCATAGATCCCTGCGAGGAACCCTCAGAGAGCCCTTGAAGGAACCCCTAGAGAGCCCTTAAAGGAACCCCTATAGAGCCCTTAATGGAATCCCCTATCGATGCTTTAGAGGAACCCTTATATATGGGAGTTTCCGCAAACTAGGGGTACCTCACTTGGGGTCCTTATAGTAAGGATCCTACTACTTAGGGTACTATATTGGGACGCGCCCTATTTTCGGAAACACCCATATTTATTTCCTTAACAAGAGCCTATTAGGATCCTTATTTCAAGGACCCCAAAATGAGGTAACCAAGTTTCGGAAACTCTCGTTTCCTTAACGTCAGATCCCAGGTTGGTCCAGCAGAATTTCCCCAAGGCCAAGCGACTCCTCGAGGTCTTCGCTGCTGGAGCTTTGCAGCTCCGCATGGGGAGGATCATGGACCAGGACGGACATTTATACCTAATCTTAGTATCTGAGAAGTTCATTAGACTGTAGACTTTTTGGTATCGTGAAACACTCTTAAACTAAGAGTTTCAGATTTTTGGTGACTTATGAACTCGGCAACTATAAGTAATATGGGGCCTGAATGTTTTCTGAATAGTGCTTCGGGGTATAGTGCAGTTTGTGGTATATAGGTATAAGAGGGACCCAGAGACTCCAATATCCCTTAATTAAGGAACATTCCTAAAATCATACTAGGGATCCTACTATAGATTAAGCTATACTCCTTATACGCTATTGGAGTCTCTGGGGAACCCGAGGTCAGGCGCTTATTTGATTTCCGCGACCCGGAGAATGCCCTCCTTGCCCACATGAGGGCGGCAGACAGAGGTGGGAGTTTCCGAAAATAGGGGACCCTAACCCAGTACCCTCCTTACTATAGAGATAATATAGTGCCCTATATATATATATATACATACATACATACATATACATATATATATATATATATATATATAGTCGGATCCTTATTATAAGGACCCCGAAAATTAAGGTCCCCCTAATTTCTATAGTGCCCTATAAATAGGTAGTAGGATCCTTATTATAAGGACCCCGAAAATTAAGGTCCCCCTAATTTCTATAGTGCCCTATAACTAGGTAGTAGGATCCTTATTATAAGGACCCGAAAATTAAGGTCCCCCCTAATTTCCGGAAAACTCCCCAGGTGCCAAGAGCCCCTTGCAGGGCTTCGAGGGCCGGGACCGCGAGGTGCAGTGCAAGATCGCCATCAACGCAAAGACGAGTCCCTCCCCTTACCTTTGGTTAGTAGGGAATGGAAGAATGGTAGTAATAGTAGTTATATGATAGTAATATGATAGTAATGTGATAGTAATATGGTAGTAATAGTAGTTTTTATTGTACCTCATTCCTCCATTCCCTACTAACCAAAGGTCCATTCCCCGACCTGCTCATGGCCTTCTTTGCGGAGGAGTTCTCCTTTGTGAAAGGCGAGGATCGGGAGCTGAAGGTGGGTGGTTGTCAAAATTAGGGTCCCTTTGTGGGTACCCTAAATAGTAGGTGCCGTACTATATCAGGGACCCAAAAAGGGATCCTAATTTTGACAACCACCCAGGTGGCTTTGAAAGGTATGATCATGAAGATGCAGCCCTGGGCTCTCTTGCCAAGAGCCTACGATCCAAGTGATCCGCTCTTTGAGCCTCTGATTGACGCTTGCATGAGGGGTGCATAGTTGCGATACTTGGGCCGGTACAGTTGTTGATACATGGTGCTCCCTTAGGACGTGTCGCAGAATGATCCGAAGAATTTGGAAGGTCGTTGCGAACACATCGAAAGTGGCTGTTTTTGCCCTGGATGTGGGTTCAGACTGCAACCGTGTTTGATTGATGGGTTCTGGGATTGCGCCGTCACGAGCAGCCCTCCACGGAGGACCCGAAATAAAGCCTTTGTTGTACAGTGTGCAATTCGGCTTTCTCGCCCTGTGTACAGTGTACAGTGAGATTGCCTGTGGAAAACATTGAAGAACTATGTGCTGCGTATTTGAGAAGGTCAATTCTTTCTAAAACGGGTCTGCATCAGCTCTTCACGTGGCCGTGAGGTGTTTTTGGTAGTGACGTAGTGCATTGGTGAACCAGCGTTGTAAGCCGGACTTGTTCGTGTTTTGCAGTGCCAGGCCGGTGGCTCCCGGGCTGGGCGGTAGTAATGTCAATGTGACAAGGTGTGATCAACTTCGGAAGGTCCCTTATGTTATGCAACCGATGTGGCTTGTTGGACTTGGGTTATGATCGATGGTGTTTTGTCCGAAAGTTGGTTGTGTATGTCAGCTGCAGTGGTGCCTGGATCATGTATGGTGAAGCCTAGCCTCTCTGGAGAGAGAGAGAGAGAGAGAGAGAGAGAGAGAGAGAGAGTCGAAACCTCAAACCTGCCGCAGCAGAAGAGGTCTTGGTGCAGCGCGAGCAGAGCCGCGCGCGGTCGCGGGAGCAGCTGGAGGAGGCGCACGGAGGGGTGGGGCTCAGGCCTTGGAGGCTTCAGGGTTTGGGTGCCGTTGGGTCGGCAGGCTTCTAAGTAGCTTAAACCGAGGAGGCCACCCGCTCAGCATCAGGGTGCTCCAAAGCTCATAACTTTTGAAATTTGGCTTTCAATTTTAGAGTCTTTCAGCAAAGTTGATGCTCTCTGTTTCGAAGGACGGGATTTTCCGTCCCTGGAAACCTAAAGCCCCAAGCCTGGGTGGTGATAACCGCTGCAGATTCTGACGCTAAACCCCATAAACCCTAAAAGCCCTAATCCCCATTAACACCATGAACCCTAATCTAATCCCTATTAAAGCCTTAAGCCGCTAAGCCCGATAAACCCCAAACCCTTTTAACCCCTAAACGCTAAAATCGGTTTAGAGTTTAGGGTTTAGGGTTTGTTTTCCGCTCCCTCTAGGTCTGTCTCACTCAGCAGACTCCGAACCACAGGCCTCGCCCAGGATTGTCCGAGTGTGAGCGCCGAAACCTGATAAGCCCTTTAAACCCTACCTGGACCCTAAAGAGCCCACCTTTTTAGGGTGCCCTATTATGATTTCCTTTTATAAGTCCTGCAAAAGATAGGTTATTTGGGGTTAAGGTATTCCCTGATCATAGTACCTTGCTTGTGGACATCGTCTCCAGCCATGCGCGAGGGAAAAAAGCCTGAACATAACATAAACCTTCAATCCTATAAATCCTATAAATCCTATAAACCCTATACCTTGTAAACCCCGTAAGCCCTAATCAAGAGAGAGGCCAAAGCCGCGGGAGACGACGATGGTGTCAAGCGGCATGTTGCAAGGCTTGGTCTTAGGGCTTTGATGTTTTAGGGTATTTAGGGTTTAGGGTTTCTGTGGAAAAAGGGTATTTAGGGTTCTGGGCTTCTAGGGCTTGTGTGAAGCCTTTTGACTTTTGACTGTCATGCAGTTTGTTGGGAGACATGTGACTTTCCCCGGCCGACTTCCCAAGCCCGGATGCGAAAGGGCTTAGGGCTCTGAAGTTGAGGGCTATCCTTATTTATAGAGACTTAAGGTCACTCCCAAATAGCCTCCTTGGCTTCCGTGGCGATGGTTCGGCAGTTGGAGTTTCCCTCCGGTGTCGAAGTCCCAGGTTGGGTACTGCCGCCACTCAGTAACAGTTGGAGAATATTCACAATGTAGGTATATTAGGAACTTAATAGTAGCCCTATTATAGACTGTTACCGTACGGGGGAGTACCCAAGTCCCAGGTTGTGAGCTTTGGGACGGTGGTGGGTAGGTTGCTGTGGTCAGAGGCGGAATGCCCACCCCGCCGCTGCAAATCCGAGACATGCAAGTCAGAAGTACGCAGACCTCGTTTGCATGAGCTTTTGCACGGATGGATACTGTTGGTGTCGATGCTATCATCTTGCTGTTTTCCTCTTTGTGGGGCAGTGCTAGTGCTGATGCCGGTGGTCGCTCTGTTACTGCTGGTAGCTCCTGGGTGGTAGACAGTGATGGTGGTGATGTGATGATGTTGAATGGTCTTCAATGCTGCTGATCACGATGGTGATGGGGATGGTGGCGCTGCTGCTCCTGCTTGTCATAGAGGCGCTGAAGCTGATGTTGTTCATAGTTGCTGTAGTACAAAATCCGGAGCTCATGATTATCACGGCTGAGTTGTCGAAACAACAACCCACCACCTGCTGTTGACGATGCTGTTGTTAAACCATGATTTGCTGTTCGCGTGTGGATTTTGCGGCTTGGCGTGGCAACTACGTGCGTGGTAGCTGTAGAACGGAAAACTAAAGCGAGTGTGCAACGATCACCAGAGCAGAATCATCAGCTGCGCTATATCCACAAGCTTATAAGCGTTTTGGTGACAGTTTCGGTCACAGCCCAAGAACCCTACACATGGGCTACTTTGTTGTTACTAGTGGAGTTTGCTTACAGCTCTTACCAACTACAGTGGTGAACATGCAGATGGAGCAGAAGCTCCGCATGCAAGCCAGATACAGAGAGTCAGAGAGTGGCCAGAATCCACGTGTCGGGAGGTTAGTCAAGGCGACGCCGCGGCATAACGACGAAGCGATGCAGCTGTTGCGCCTCTTGCCCTTGGTGGGTTCGACGAAATTTGGAATTTCGGTTATTTGTGTGATCAGTTCCCAAACACGACCCCAGGTTTGGGTCATCAACTTTTGAGGACGTGCTTTCGATATCCTTTCAGGACATGTCATCAGGGCATTTGTGCTGCGTTGCGCTCCATAGTTCAGCCCAGCACAGCTACGGGCCATGTTTGGTGTGGAACACCTTAATGGCCTTCCGCGTTGCTCCTGCAGCACGAGGGCCAAGAAGGCCTAAAGAGACCTGCCCCCTGTCCCTGTTGTAGGTCGTTGGGGTTGGCTATAAAATCCCCTGACCGGTCATGTCCGGATTTCAACTCCATGCGCAGATCGAGGACTCATGGGCGTGCCTGCGGTGCAAGCACCTGGCGAGGTGGGCAAACGTCGGGGTAGAGCCTTTTTCTGTATTACGCGGTAGTAATGCGGAGTCGATCGGGCTTGTTGGGATTTGCTGGTTAACTGGCAAGTTGTGCAGGTGCCATACAGGTCCCTCAACAGCTTCATCCCGTCGACTGCGCTTTAAAGCCTTTCGCTCTTGAACTCACAGGGCAGCAAGAGCAACAGCAAATGCAACCTGACTTACTTTGTAGGTGGGGCTTCAATTCCTCGTGTGGCGGTTCGTCATCGGTTGTAACACAAGAAACGGAAACACCAGAAGAAACACGACAACACAAAAGCACAGAATGTAAAGCCGCGAGCTTCTTCCCGCCGCGAAGATTCCCTGAACCAGAACGATCAAAGACTAAAGCATTTTTTGTCTCGGATGTCTGGAGGCTGAGGCACTCTGTGCAGAGCTTGCCACGACTGGCCATGCCCATGCAGCAGCTACGGAGGTTCGTGTGCCTGGAGGGGCATTTAACTTTGACGCTTTCTGCTGAGAGTTCGATACGTATATGTGGCACCTTTCTTTGGCTTGGGCCATTTCAGAGTCCTGGCAAACCAAGAAAGCGATTGTGGGTCATGAGATTTCGTAGGTTGCACATGGATTTCCAAGCTGTTTATGTCCCAACAACTGAAATTTTGAACGACCCTTTTCCGTTTCGCAGTGAGCTTCCATTTTACACGATATGCCTGGACTTTGTCTCTATGCAACCCAAGCCTACAAGAACCCCTAAAACTTAAACTAAGTTCAACATTATAGTCTAAAGTCCCCCGAAACCCTATTCTAACTGCTGAGGCATCTATATAAGAGACAAGAACACAAAAGCCCCAACACCTAAGCTTTCAAACGCCCGGCCAGGATTTCGACGCCTTGGTCTTTGGGGCACCGAGACTCCTGAGGTCCGTTCATTATGGCTGTTATTCGGGAGTCTGCGAAAATCAGGGGCTCCCCTAATTTCGGAAACTCCCATTTAAGGTGTTATTCTATCTTCTTGTTGTTCTTTTCCATGGTGGGAGTTGTTATGTTTTTTCTTATTGTTCTTGCTATTACTGGTATTCTGTTATTGTTGTAATTTTGTTTTTTTCTGGCCTTGTTTGCTTTTTCCTTGTAGGGTTATCGGTCGATTCATACTGGTTCTGTAGAAAATGTGGGAGCGGCCATTTGGGTTTTGGGGCTTCGCTTCTGCGGCAGCTACCGTACTGTATTGCCATATCGCACCTGTCAGTATGTTAGCATCCTTGCACCTGGTGTTTGCAGCCTATCTTGGTGCTCTGGTATGGCTTGCCACGTTCAGCTTTCATGAGCCCCATTCATGTCAGCGTGGTCGTTGTTCTTTTCGCTTAATTACGGAATAGAGCAGCGCCACGGATATCACACCTTCAGCTTCTGTTTTCCTTACTCTTACTTTCTCGGCCTTCGTAACAGTTTATCTGAATCTACGTCTGTATACGTTGCCAATTTTGCCTTGCTCGAACTACTGCCACCTGTAAATGTAGTATCCCCACCTGTCAGAACCATAATTGTTACTATCGCTATTTGTCGCCCTACCGCTGCTGAAACTGCTGCGGTTACTGCTACCGACTGCTGACTACTGACCACACACTACTCCCACTCCTGCTCCTACTCTTACTACGACCGCCACTGCTACCACTACTGCTACTACTGCTACTACTACTACGACGACGACTGCTACTTCTACTTATGCGTATACACTTATACTTATACTACTACTCCTTCTCCGACTGCGTCCGCGACCGCAACTGCGACGACGACGACGACGACTACTACTACTACTACCACTACCCGTCCTCCTCCCCCTCGTCCTCCTGCTGCTGCTACTGCTACTGCATTTGCCACCGTTGCTGATATGGTGACGAACATGACGACCTCCTGCTCTTTTTTCTGCTACATTCTGCTACCAGCTCCAGTGCACTCGGGACACTAGGGACATGCCGCAGGTTAATTGACACTATCGTATTAGTTTCACTAATCCGCCATCCAATGCCATAAAGATACAGTTTCCTCTGCTACATGAGCATTATGAGCATCGTTGGCACCAGCGTGCCTTTGCCGTAGAAGGCGGAGTTTATGTACCATCTCCGACATTATTGAGCCTTTGGGTTCCTGCTTGAACCTAGTAGCTGAGTAGGTAACCTTTAACCTTTTGGGGCTTGTTTTTTCCTACCAGAATTCAAAAGGCTAACCTTTTCTGGCGTAGGGTACTCAGCCCCTTATATAGATCCCTTAGAAGGAACTCCATTCTAATTATTAAGGCCCCTATATTAACCAAACCCTAACCCTGTTCTTTTTCTGCAGCTTTTTGCAGGAACCTCCATCGAGCCGCAGCCTCGCCTCAGATTCCTCTGGTGCAGGCCCTTCTGCTTGAGTCCGGCAGGGCTGCAGGCACCAGTGGAAAGAACAGGGCTGGTATAGGGGCCTACATAGTTACCGATACTATTTTTTGTTTTGGGGGGGGTTCTTTATAACTTATAACCACAGTATAATATACCCCGAAACCCCATTCTCATTGTTAAGGCCACTACATTACTAAATCGGAGTGGTGGTGGTGGTTACGGGATGTGAGAATCCACAGACCGACTGAGGACTCAGGGCTTGGGAACCCTGAATGGTGCTGAGTAGGGGTTTCCTTTCATGTGAAAGAGGCTGGCAGTAGTTTGGGTCAATGCTACGAGCCCCCAAATATCCGGATGCTAAAGGCAGTTGAATCGCTGTGAATGCTGAAAGGCAAAATACAGTCGGACCCTCTTGAACGCCGAATCCCCAGAAAGCTTCAGTATGCCCATGAGCGCAAGAGATACTCTAATCCTGAAGTGAATGCAGCCTGACCCTTCAACCCTCAACACCGGAGTTCAGGGGCTCTTCAGCCACCCCGGGCCTCAACCATCCGAAATCGTGAAGCCCAAGTTTCCCCGAGCCACGTTCAGCCCGCTTAGACTCGAGGATATTCAGCTCAAGTCCCTCCTGGCAGCTTTGGCATTCACGCAGGCCGAGTTTGAGTCTCGCCGGCAGAGTTCAACGAAGCTTCATGCTTCATGGCCTTTCGTGTCTAGGGTTATCGTGCTGTAGGGTTTAACAAGACACAGAGTTTCAGGGGGAGATCATTGGGCCGCGCTCGTTCACTCGGATCGACATGAGAGAGATAGCTACATAATCATCCAATGTTTTTGTTCGTGTGCCTGCCGAGCATCACCTGAAGAACAGCAGTCACGATAGCCCCGCGACTCCCTAGACTTAGACTTATAGTCTCCGTAGCAATCATCTGTATTTTGTTCATATAAAACCCAAGAGAAAATTCAGAATATTATTTGCATTATGATGGCACTGTTATGGTTCTTAATGGGGGTATAGAGACACTGATACCTGCAGCAGGAGCCCACTAAGCCACTAAGCACAGCAGGGTTCTGTAAGGTGGACTTCTGCATCCTGGCCGGATGCGACTACTTGACGACCATCTCCAAGGTACCCCAAAAGCCGCACTCCAGGAGCAGCATAGGTATATGGGAGTTTGCGGAATTTTGGGGTGCCGTGTTTTGTGGGGTCCTTATAGTAAGGATCCTGCCATTTAAAATACTGTATTAGGGGTCCCCGAGTTTCGGAAACTCCTTGATCTGCCCGCCCGATGTTTGCCGCCCTTCGATCCTGCGTGCCTGGACAGCTTCCTTTGTGAGGATCCCCGGGGCGCCTCCTGTGAGTTGAGAGAGTCGATAAAAACTGCACCCTAGCCTACGCGGGGGAGGTTTTTCAGAGGGTCCAAGTACTCCCTATTATAGGACTTTAGGGCTTAGCTAGCAAAAACCATAAGATAAGGAGAACTTGGACCCTTAGGGTTTGGCTTCTGTGCAGGTGGGCATCGTCACGGCGCGGAAGCTGATGCAGGAGCATCGCTCGATCGAGGCAATCCTGGAGCTTCCCGGCTTTACAAAGAATCGGCGGCAGGTCATGACTGGTGACTAGATATGTTTAGGGCCGTTGAGTTTTCGGATATAGGGTGCAGGGTGCCGGATGAAGGTTTGCCGTTTCGGGGTTTCCTCTGGGACTTTGCTTGGAGCACAGCTTTGCTGCTTTGCTGCCATTGGACAGGGGACGCGAGGCAACCGGCAGAACTGGTCTGTTGAACGCCTCGAAACTTGATCAGTAGAGCAGATGCTTTTCATTAGCACTGGCACCAGCAGACAGAAGTCAGCAAGCCGGTTGATTACATGACATGCTACACATGCGAGAGAAGTCCAAATGCTGGACACCAAAAGCCGTAGCAAAAACACCAAAGAGGGCTCCCACATGCCCAACCGTGTCTTCATCCCAGCTGTTAAGCCAAGGAGGGAGTTCTAATTGTAGAGGCAATCCTGTCATGCGTCATGAAGGCATGTTTTTGAGAGAAGCTTTCTTGGGTCGATTTGGGTTTAGGGTTTCGGGTTTAGGGGAATTCTCTGTCCCAGACTATCGCCTCTGAGGAAGCTCGATCGCAAGAAGTACGCGGCGCTGGGCTGAGGTCAACTCGAAGTTGGGAGTTCGGGCTTTGTTAAAGGATTCAGTTTAAGTTACCACAATCGGGACCTATAAGGGTTCCTTTAAGGGTTGGGGATTTAATTTAACTTACCATAATGTGGATCTATCGTAAAAAAGCATGGTTTCCCTACTATGCTAACTAAGTTTAAAGTTATGCCCAACCACCAACCAGCATAGCTTTCTTTTTGCAGAGCATCCTTGTGTTGAGACTCGTCGTAAGACCCAAGGTAAAGAGCTAAGTTTTGGTAGCTCGGGGTTGAGGGGTCGTGACAGCGTGGGCAACACCGTGGCGCAGATCAAGGGATGTTCCTGGCTGGGTTCCCAGACCCCCGGGAGGATCCAACAAGTAGATCCCTTAATGGGGGTTCCTATGAAGTACCCTTAGTAGTATAGGTCCCCAAATTAGGGGATCTACTTTCTAGATCCTCCCAGGATTTCTGTTTTTTTGGGCATTGGTTCACAGCAACAGAACCCTACACCCCCAACTCTCCGAAAATCCTGAAACCATGACGGTTTAGGGTTTAGGGGACTCCCTGTGACAACCTGTGGAAGTACCATTCAATTCGTGCGGGGGCACTTTCAAACCCTATTGAAAGATTGTAATAACGATGAACCTCCCAGCAAAATCCTAAACTCTGCAACATAGCCCCGAAGCTAAGGTGCCCGAGGACTGGAACTATCAGGCCGCCAGGCGCAGAGTCTCTTCGAGGGTTCTGCTGCGTGGGCCTTGCATTTATTTTATAGGACTCCAGGGTTTTAGGGGTCAGGGGCTGGGGTTTTAGAATCCTAGAATCAAAAGGTCGAATTAGGTAGTTATGGCTTCGGTCTCAGGGTTCTGGGTTTAGGCGTAGGGTCTAAGTACGCCTTACACAGAAACTGCAGCAGAGATCGCTTCGTGGCAGTACCCTGTATTCCGATCATCTTCCAGGCCGATTACCATCAACCACAAACTCCTGTTTGACTGGGTGCGTGCTAAAGCCCTGCACACTGCACATTGAACAAGCACTAGGCTTTGCACACCTGCCATGCTAGAGGGGGAGCAAGAAGGTACATACGCACAGTTTAGCGTACATTGACATGCGTGGCGGGCTTTTGAGTTAGCTTTACTCCGATTGAGCTGTAGACCGGAGACTCCACCATACAGTTTCGGCTCTGATCCGAGAGTCCCGAAACTGCAATGGTCACCGTCCCTATAGTCCTTTGTGCGCACAGCACTTTCACGCACAGAAACCGCTGACATAGACGTCTAAATAATTGGTAGTACTATTTCCTGAAAGTCTCGTAATAAGTTCCTACAGAACTATAAATAATCGATCCAGGAACCGTGGACTATCTACTTGTTCGGATTCGAATCTGTCGGAGGTCATGCTTCGGAAGCAGCTCCATGAAGGATGTGAACATCGCGACTTTACAGGTGCGGTTGTTCAGACTTCCGCAAGGTAGGTATGCTAGTATGAATGGCACCCGAAAAACCTAACCCCAGAAGCCCTAAACCTTTTACGGTTTCAGAATTCCACTGCATGGGTCGTGCTTTACATTAGGGTCCTTGGAGAGCCCTTTTATTGAGAAGGGTGCCATTTAGGGGACTTAGCTTAACCCCTTCATGGATTTCATCATATGTTGTCGAAGCTCTTGGCCCGATAATTTCTCAGCTTTTGCGGTTTTGATTTCGTAAAGGGATGGCCGGAAAGTATCTGCGGTGAAGGACATTCGTAGTACTTGGAGCTAGAATGCAGTTTCAAAGTTTCGTTACGTGATCTCAGCAAGAGAAAACTCAATCGCATCATCGTTAACGTCATCGTGGCATATCGTCGGAGGCTTCCTACTGACAATGATAACTGAAAGTCCGCTCCGTGAGCATGCGACAAAGAGGATGGAGAACAGAACAGAAGCTGCACGCAGTATACGCAGTAAAACCCTGGAGTGTTTCTGTGTGCATGTCTAAAGTTACCGTCTGAGCTGAGAGCAGAGGAGACTGCCGTACAAGCTGGACCTCTTCGCAAGCTGCCGGGGCCTTTGCTTGGGTGCACGGCTGTGGGATTGGATTTGTATAGAAGTTTATCGGTGGTAGTTTTTTGCAATGGTACGACGGCACTTCACTGACTCAGCACGGCCTCAGAAGATTCGAACAAGAAGTTTAATGGTTCGAACGTGTTCTGTCGGACGTACTAGCCGCAGAACGTGTCTCCGGAGGCGCTATAACATGTACTGCTCGGCACGTCTTTTGGAATCCCATCTGCACAATACTATAAGGCGTGGGCATGACAATGATCATCTCGCCAGTGGCTAGTGAATACTATACCGTCTTTCCGGGTACGATGTCTTTTGTGTACACCATGTCTTCGACCGAATTAGGCCCTAACCCTATAAATCCTAAACGGTTCGTGCCTCGCCCGGATTGTCCGAGTGTGAGCGCCGAAGCCGCTTGAGCTCAGAAGGCTTAATGCCGGAATCCATGCCAGACCTGTGCGAGTGTGTGGGTCGAAACCGTTGGAGGGTTTCCGACAAGCCTGCCCATAGTAACCCTTATAGACCCTTTTACAGGAACCCTCTTCTAAATATTATAAGGCCCCTATATTACGTTTGACGTTTGCCGAGAAGCTTGCCCAGGCTGATCGAAAGGTACAACTTGGCACAAGACTTGGTCGATGATTGCATGCGCCGTCTCATGGCAGTGCTCCTTGGCTGCTCCGAAAGCCTTTGAACCGAAGAGCTACAGAATACATGGCTTCGGATAGTTAGAATTGGTGGTTGGGGGGTGAGATTATGGCATTAAACTTATACTACGAGGAGCCTCGAGGAATACATTGATAGTTATTTCGCTCCGACCCCTATGTCACCCGAGCTTGTGAGTGTAGTCGTTTTGTCCAACTTTACAAAGCACAACTTCTTGCGCAGTGTGCTCAGCACGGAGCTTTGTGCTGATTCAGCCCTTCATGCATCTTAAAACACGTTCCGCATTTCCGACGTCGTGGGACCATGGCATAGGCCGAAGCTGCAACATTTTGGGCATACTGTATTTTCCAATGACAGACACCAGCTGCATCCAAGCTGCCGTCGCCATCTTGAAAATCGACAGAATCCTTTCAACTTGTATCGCCTAGTTGACTCTGCAAGGCACCAGTAGACCAGGGAAGCTCGACTTTGACATTCGGCATCCCCGAGGTGTTCGATGTGATGGCAAGAGCCGTGTCAAGAACAGCATTAACAGAGCAAGAGACACGAGCAACGAGAATAAATGAAGGCACTACTAACCATCACAGTAGGCGAGCCCATAAGCTGTGAAACTTAACAAGCTTCATCACTCCCTGAGTGTAAGCATTGTCATAATGGCTAGAGCACATGTCTGTGTTTGCTGTACAGTAGCAGCCGCTGAGACCCAACACGGCATCCACGGCGAAAATCACAAGGCGGTCAGCAACGAGTACAAGTGTCCACAGCCAGCACGACGACAGCCACCACCAGCAGCAGCAACACATGGAAGTCACATTCTGGATCCCAAACCCGAAGTAGGCAAGGACTTTTGTAGTGGTGACGAGCAGGTCAGCAAGCTGGCTTGTGCTGGTCGGCGTTCTTGCTTTAGCGAAGATAGTAGCAACCAAAACGATGCCTCTTCTGGATGAGTGCTGTTGGGAATATGAGGAAGCCGCCACCATTGCCCCCACGACCCACGGTGACGAGGGCACCGCTGGAGACTTAGACCCAGCAGCATTTCGTGTCACGGGAGACTTGGTGCGGGTCACATCGCCTCGAAGCACAGCGTTTCTCAACCTCATAAGGGTGCGCAAGCCGAACGCACGAGTCGAATTATTCAATCCGGCATCGCCCCTGGCATCGGCACAGTAAAGGTTGAATGAGAGAGCTCGTCGGTTTGAGAGACCCAAAGCATTCTACAGGCTTATTTCAATACTGAGTACTCCCGTAAACACTGAAACCGATTACGTATATAGATCCAGCAAGGAGACTGTGACCAAGGCTGCTTCGTTCAAGCAGTTGGAAGCATTTCACTGCATCCAGCATCCCTACTTCGCTTCAGCCTAAAGCCCTGCCGCAGCACCCTTCCAAAATGCATTTACGAAGGGAGCCCTTTAAACGGAACCCTATTCTTGATAATTAAAAAAGAGCCCTTCAAGCGGAAACCCTGAACCCTATAAAGCCTAAACTATTCTAATTCGTCAGCCCCAGACCAGTCTGCCCAGGAACAGGAGTGGCACAGCGCAGCGTGGAGCAAACCAGCTCGCCAGATGAATTGGAAGTGGACTAACACATTCTAAATTCTAACCGAGAAACTTGCTAGCATAATGTAGTAGGATAACATAGTATAAAACAAACTACACTTTACCATGATGGTACACTTGTTTATAGCACACTGAGATGCAAGCCTTTGTGTAGGATGTCAGATTTAATGTTTGATTGAGGGCTCCGTGGCTGATGTCGAAGGTTACGGCTGTGTCAACCTAACTTACCTTTGGTTAGTAGAGAATGGAAGAATGGTAGTAGTAGTAGTAGTTGTTGTAATTGTACCCCATTCCTCCATTCCCTACTAACCAATGGTAAGCTAAATCATCAACGAAACACACTCGGAGTTGGCAAAATGATCTTGATGTGTCATAGGGGAGTTTCCGGAAGTTAGAGGTGTCTTAAGTGGGGTCCTCATGATAAGGATCCTACTATTTAGGGCACTATATTAGGGTCCCCTATTTTTGGAAACTCCGGTACCTGCAAGACACAAGACTAGTTTGCGCGGCTTCGCTTTGCAGAACAACCTTTTTTCGTTTCAAGTTGCTGACGTCCCAAATGCGGACGAGACTGCAGTAACAACAAGTTATGCAGGGTGCCGTTAGCTACGGTTGCGGTGGACCACCTGTACCATTCAATATTGTCGCTACCGGCATGATTGCTGGACCGACTAGGACACCTGAACGTCCTGTCTCTCTCGTGCGCCAACTGGCAGAAATTCCTGTACAGTAGCCTCGTACAGCCCACACCCACGTCCCTAGAAACCTTCAATAGTCCAACATTGCAAAATGTACAGAATTCCATTGTATACATGATGGGTATTGGCTACAAAGCTTCATGGAGGGATTCAGGAACAGTAGCCAGCTGTAGCAGTTTGTCCCTTCCAAAAAACCTGTCAACCTCACTCTTTTGCCGCTCCGTCCTAATATAGTGAATTAGAATAGGGTTTAGGGCCCACTATACTATAGTTATAATGAGGAGCCCCAAAATCAGTATGGGTAATTATTGAGGCCCCTATATTACCGAAGTTCCCGCGAAAGAAGGCGACGTCCAGCCACACCTCAAGGCCCAGGCCAGCCCGGCAAAAAGTGGGATTTACTGGAGGGGCCTTAATGAAACAGGGTTTCTTTAAATGGAAATCCTTAAATGGTTACTATAAGGGATCTATAAGGGTACTCTAATGGCTATAATGTAGGGGCCTTAAGAATTACCTATATTTTTTGGGGGTATTCCTTATTGTAAGTATAGTATAATGGGCCCCAAAACCCTATTTTAATTATTCAGGCCCCTATATTACCAGAATGTTATTGCATGCAGGCCCCCCCCCCCCCCCAGGGTAGAATTCTAAGATACAATGGCAAGATCTTACTTGGAGTCCTGAGTTCCCGCCGCCGGCAAGTGTGACAGACCGCGTCCTTCATGGCTTTTTAACTTCTGGAGGGGCGGTTTTCGGATTTGTGGCCTTGGCTTGTGGAGCATCGTAGGGTTGAAGAAGAGGAATCTAGAAGTTTGGAGTCGGGATTTGTGGATTACGCCCGCTTGCGACATGCCTATTCTCAAAGGCTCGGTATACCCTAAACCCAAAGCCCTAAACAACAAAAACCCGTGAAGGTGTGCCTGCGAAAGAAACCCCTTGACCCAAAGCCATAAGCCAGGGGTGAGCTAAGCCGGAGGGTAGAAAAGCCTGATTTAGGACTGCTAGGTTTTGGTTGCGCTTCTGAGCTCGTGACTGCTTTGCCGCGACTTGAGGGAACGTCTATCCTTCCTTAGTCCGAGCCAGGCGGGAGGCAACCGTTACATCCAACATCGATCCCATCATTCGGGACATGTGGCAAACCATGTTCAGCTCAAGTATGTATGGACTGGCTTGGCCTTGGCCTTGTTCACTGCGCTTTGAGACGGCTTCGTGTTGGGGGCTTTCCAGGTGCCCACACCAATATGGGGTCTATCGAACTAGATCACACATTGTTTGAATTTAGACGGACCGTTATTCGCCTGATGGCATGCTTACGGACAGCCGGTGAGGCCGCAGAGACAATCCCGGTTCCAGGAGAAGACCTACGAAGCCAAGCCCTAAACCCAAACATCTAAACTCGCAGCCCTAAGCCCAAATCCCAAGAATTGGAAACCCTAAAACCTATACAGCCATGCGAGACGGATACATAACACAAAAGACTCATAAAACCCCCGTGGCCCTAGTGCACGCTTCTATTGACACCCTAACAACAAGTTGTACCCGAAACCCCGGTACCTGAACCTTCTTTATACTTCCAGCAGGACCGCAGACAATCCTGCGAAACACAAACCCTAAGTCTTTAAGTTCAAAATTTCATAAACCCTGCAGAACCCCTACAAGAACCGACACACCCGCTGCGAACCCCGAAACGCATCCCCAAAACGACTCTGAGACCCAAGCGCCGTGATAAGACATCATTGCAATCCGTTACCATATATATATATATATATATGTATACAGACCTCATACCCAAACACTAACCATAGAACAACATATAATTCTTTAGGGCTCTTTTCAAGTGTACGATAATCATATGTTCAACCTTGAGCCCTAAACCCTAACCCCTGAATCCCAAACCCTATTTACTCGTCTGACTTGTGCGAGTGCGAGAGTGTAAACCTTGAAATCCCTGATTCTCAATACACCTTAAAAACCCGAAACCCTAAATCCCTAAACTGTAGACCCTAAATCCTACAAACCCTAAAGCCCTAAAGCCCCAACCCTAAACCTTTAAATAGGAAGAAACTGCAACCCCGCAGGGGCCAAGCATGCGCTGCAGACAGCCTTCCAACAGGCGCCGACTTCTTCCTTTCAGGGGCTTTAGGGTCTATTATTTTAGGGTTTATCGGGGTCTAGGATTTTAGGGTTTATTGGGGTTTAGGGTTTTTACGGTTTAGAGTTTGGGGTTTTAGGGGTTTAAGGTTTTAGGGTTTAGGAGTTTAAGCTTAGGTTTTCGGGCTTAGGGTTTTAAGGTTTGGGGTTGCTGGTCGAGGGTTTTAGGGTCAGGCGTTGGAGGCTATGGGGATTTGGGGTGCGAGGGCTTAGGGTTTTGGAAGAGCTTTGGGGGACTTTCATGTGGGGCTTATATGCTGTTCGCTTGCAAGCTGTCAGGGGTTTGGTTACGAGCTCCTTAACTTCAGCTTGTAGGCCTTTTTCAAGAGGTTAGGTCGTCTTCTGTGTGGATGCCAAGCGCTGCTGTGCCCTTTCCAGGTAGAGGTGCCTATGGTTTAGGGGTTTAGGGGTTCGGGGTTCATGGCTTAGAGACCTTAGCACAGGCTCGATCGAGAAGCTTCCGAAGCAGAACTCGACATTTACGCATGTTGATTACTCCTTGGCCTTGAACACGAGCGCCCTTAATGCGGTTCTAGCTGCAAAATGCTGCATTCAAGAAGCATTGTTTGAGTGAGGCATAGAATGGCAGTGTATCTTCCTCCTGTAGGTGGGGATCAGGGTGTTCCTGGCCGGAATGGTGCAGGAGCACCCGCTGAGCCTCGTTTCGTGCTGGAGGACAATGCAAACTTAAGAAAGTGCTTTGCTTTGGATTCGGCAAAGCAATGCTCCACGAGTGGATGACGGTGCTTCTCGCCCGCAGCTAGCGCGAGGGTATGCAGTGTACACGATGATCGTTTTTTTTCGAAGCTCGGAGCCTGATGATCTGGAGTGGGCCGTCATGCCGGGCCACCTACAAGGATCGCTCAGGGATTCGGCCAGCAATGCAAGCAGTCAGATGGAAGATAAGACTCCAATTGGAGATGCTAGCGTTCCTGATTTGTAGTTCCGGTTGCAGAAGTTGCAAGCCTTGTTTGTAGATAGCCCGGCCAAATTCGCAATTTGCGATCGGGTATTGAGACGGCTCATGGGGTGCTGGAGGCAGCGTTTTTGGCAAGGTTCGCACGAAGGACTCCAAGTCCTACACCGCTGCATGGCAGGAAGCCGAGACATGGCAGCTTTTTGCTCGGCAGTTGACTAACGTGGTAATTCCAAGGCTGCAGTTAGTTTTGTTTGTTTCTTTCTTGCAGCTGAGGGTGGGCGACATGCTCGTGCGAGCTGGCGAAGGGGACATCTACCACGTCCCCGCCGATGAATTCGGCCGCCGATATGACATCATAGGCTAGGTGATGTTCGCACTCCTTCCGTGCAAAGCAAGTTGCCACCGTTTGCCAGTTTTTGAGAAAAATTGCTTATTACCTGGCGTCCTGGTCATGCCAGCACTTCCCTGATATTGCCTGCAATGCTGGTGGTCCCATGCAGCTCGAGGTACACCGGGAGCAGAAGAAAAGGGAGTATGCTGAGGCATTGGCCGCGCACTGTTTTCTCAACCTGCGGCTGCTTCTTTCAGTCAGGCCTTCGAGCGCTATGTGGGCGTGGCTCTGAAGAACAACCCTGGCCCCAGCACAGGACTCAGGTTAGGTACATCAATGAAGCAGTTGCAGGAGATCATGCTGGTAGTCGGCTGGACAAAGCAACCGCCGCCCGAAACCAAGACCCATGGACAAGGCAACAAATGTTTTGGCTTGTCTTCTCAAGCACAGTGGCAATGAAACCCCACGTGGAACATGGTTGACTACCCGACGCTAAGGCACATTGACAGATCAGGAAGCGACTCTTGAGACTCAAGCTGCGCAGCCTGTCCAAGCTCAGGCTAGGATTTCCGGCATTAAGCTAGGATGCCACACGCACGCATCTACTCATCTTGCATTGCTAGTTGAATGCACGCAGGGACAGCCTGCGCCTTGGCGCGGAGCTGCAGATCTTTAACGGTTTTCAACGGCTCGGTTTAGAACAAATTAATATTCGCCCAGAAAACAAATCGGAAAACTTAGCGAGTTGCATCATCATGTGCAGCTGATTGGTGTGATTGGTCGCAACTGTAGAGCAATCATTGCGAACTTTTGTTGGTTGACACCTTCTGGGAGCTCGAAGAACCAACTGCAAGGGCGGTCTTCGGCTGCAACCGTCGTAATGTCACATGGCAGGTCGCCGGGGCGCTTGTGGATGGTCCTTCTAAATATTACTTTGCAGCGTCCTCGTCCTCGCCACGATAGTTGCTGCTGATGTAGTTTGTTGTTTTTCTTTGTTGGATTACAAGTTAGTTTGTTGTTTGTCGTCTTTATATTTCCGCTTTGTTTGTAGTGGTTGTCAGCAATTTACTTGCGTGATTGTTTGTTTGATTGCCTGCTTGCTTGCTTGCCTGCTTGTGTGCTTGCTTGCTTGCCTGCTTTTTTGCTTGCCTGCTTGCCTGCGTGCTTGCTTGCTTGTTTTGCTTGTGTGTTTGTGTGCCGGTTTGTTTGCTTGTTTGTTTGGGTTGGTTTCTTTGCTTGCTTGCCTGCTTGTTTGCTTGCTCGGTTGTGTGGTTGTTTCTTTGTGTGTTTGTTTGTTGGATTGTTGATTTGTTTGGTTGGTTGGTTGGCTGTTTGTTGGTTGTTTGCTTGTGTGCTTGTTTGTTTGACTGTTTGTTTGTGTGCTTGCTCGGTTGCTTGGTTGCTTGTGTGTGTTTGTCTGCTGCTTGTTTGTTTGTTTGTTTGTTTGTATGTGTATTTGGTCGTGGTTTGCTAGCTGGCCTGCTTCTTTGTTTTACCCAGAGTGTTGCTGGGTTGATAATTCTCTTGGGTTCTGTTGGTGTTGTTTGGTTGATGGTTTTTTTGATGGTTGTGGTTGTAAGTGTGGCTGTTGTGCTGCTGGTGCTGTTGTTGATGTTGTTGGAGTTGCGGTTGTGGTTGTGGCTTTGTATTGTTAGTCTTATCGCTTGTTGTTATTATTGTTTATGTTGTCGTTGTTGTTGCTGTTGTTGTTGGTGGTGGTGGTGTCGTTGTTGTTGTTGTTGTCGTCATTGGTGTTGTTGATAATGTTGGTGTTGTTGATGCCATTGGTGCTGTTGATGATGACGTTGTTTTCGCTGTCGTTGTCGTTTTCGTTGATGTTGTTGTTGTTGTTGTTGTTGTCGTCATTGTTGTTGTGGTTGTTGTTGTTGTCGTAGGCGTTGTTGTTGCTGTTGTTTTAATGGTTGTGAATGAGGTCGGCGTCGTCGTTGTTGTTGTTGTCGTTGTTGTTGCTGCTGCTGCTGCTGTCTTTGTAGTTATTAATGTTGTTGCGGCTGTCGTTGTCGTTGTTGTTGTTGTTGCTGCTGTTGTTGTCATTGTTGTTGTTGTCGTTTTTTGTTCTTCTTGTTACTGCTCATGGTTTTCTTATTGTTATTATTGTTATCCTCGGTTGTTGTTGTTGTTTTTTGTTGTTGTAGTTGTTGTTCTCGTCTTCGTTATTCTTAATGTTCCAACTGTTGTTATCGTTATTTTTTTGTGTTTGTTGTTGTTGATGTTGTTGTTGCTGCTGTATTTTTGGATTTTGTTTGTTTTCTTGCTAATGTTTTTGTTGTTCTTATTGTTGTTATCCTTTTTGTTGTTGTTGCTGCTGCTTCCAGCCTCAGTGACTGAATGTAGCTGAGTAGGTAATTTTTATTTTTTCGGGGCTTATATAATCCTACCACAATTGTAAAGGTCAACATTTTTTGGGCCAGGGTACCCGGCCCCTAAATTTAATATACGTAGCGTACGGCGCAAGGTTGCTCTGCTCATCCGGGGGCCGTGATTCAGTCGAGCTGGAGACTGGCTCAAAAACGGAACGTCCCGAACTCGTACCGTAAAGAAAGCGGGACCTGAATACCATTACACCTTGCCTTAACTACCCTCAGCTTAACTATCCTGGACCCCGAAGGCACTGAACAAACCTTGGCACCTTTGGTGCTAAAGAGAGCAAGGAAGAGGCAGAGAGACACAGACTGTGCTGCAGGGAAAGCGCAAGTCCCTGAACGAAGCGTCACCGTTGAAAAGGCGGTTAGGGGTGCCGGGATGGCTTTGGCAGGTGATCTTGGGATCTGTGGTTTGAGGAGTTTCATGGCTGTCCGCGTTAAGGCCGGGATCAGATTCCAAAGTCTGACCCCTGACTTCGCTTCCGAGTTCCGAGTTCTCTCTTGGCCTCTAGAGTTCAGGGTCTGGCCTAAACCGAGAAAGAAAGTATGTAATGCTACATACACAGTACAATATTGTTGTGTATATATATATGTTTAGACATATATACAGCTGGATATATGTATAGAAAACTGGTAACCCAACCTGTTTTAAAATATTACAGAAGATACCATCTGCAATCGAACGTAGTCGAAAGGGGCCTAAACATGATACCCATTGGGCATTTTTGGGGCAGGCTGTTCCGTTGCCGAAGTGTTTTAGGTGCGAGCACCGGATTTTGTGATGAAAACAAAACTGTTCGTTTCTGTTTGGAGTGATTGCTAGGTCCTCTTGTTGGTCGTCATCTCTCCTCATCAGTCCCCTCGAAGTCTCCTTGGTTGTCGTTGCCACTGTCGTCTCTGCCATTGCCTGTCGGGGCTCTGCATCACCAACCACCCTCGCAAAACGTACCGCGCACCGTTGTTACGTTTGGACGTACAAGTCCGATACCATAAAGCCTTGGACCGTTTAAACTCCGTAAACCCAAATCTAATTCAATCACTGGCAAGTGCCATTGCCACTTGCTTGGCGCTGCTTGGCCGCTCCAGGCGGCGCGTCTCCGCAGTGATGGCATTGAAGGGCCTGCTAGGCTGGATCTCTCAGTGCATTTGAAGGGTTTCTGGTCTTTGGGTGTACATATTTACGCTTTCGGTTGGGTTTTGTGATCAAAGCTTTGAGGCTTTCTTGCCTATGTCATGCCAGAGAAGTACCTCCTGAAGACCACCGATGGTTCTCGGCCCCTCCTTTGCCATTCGGCCTTCTCTACCCCTCTTCATGCATGAGCCCGTGAAATCTTGAAAGCGTAAACCCCAGGCCCCAGATCTGAAACCTAAACAGAGACCGCACTTGGCATTGACTAGCTGTGCCTGAGAAAATCTAGACTTCTAAACCCTGAAACCGGACTACCGGCTTCCAGCAACAAAGGTTGCATGCATCCTCTCAATCCATAGCAGGAGTTGTCAGAATATTATTCGTTTGGAAATCGTTATATAACATACATGCATACATACATAAATACACTAGAATACATATATATATATATATACATGCTTGAGGAAAGTACAGTAGTCTCCAAAGTTTAGGACTCTTGACAGCTGTATTGGTGCTTTTGTAAGGAAGCGAACACACCGAGGTCCATCACGCAATGAACATTGGTCATGTAGCAACGTAGCAGTGCTGCCAACATGCGTCTGACATTAGTGAGGAATCCAACAGAAAGCTAATAAGAACAATTAGCGACGCTGCCGACCATTTCAGACGGTAGTCTCAGCTACTGAGCTGCCCGCTATGTAATGTCGTAGTTGGTGATGGTAAGCATTGTAGCAAGAAGAGAAGCAGACATAATCGAGGGCTTGCAACGTTATCGGCAGCGTGTGAAAAGCAGAACAGTGCCAGTTGTGCTGGCAGCAAGAATCCAGTTATAGGTCTACATGCCTAGGTGCCGACATCGTTCTGTCGGATGAGATGCCGATTGACCAGCTGCGTGCCAAGAAATGGGTTTATGGAAGGGAGCTGTCGGTGATTGGGGATTTGTGTTGCTATGGCTGGGCAGTTTTACCTCGTAGAGTGAGGGCCTACTAGTCTATATGATTTTATTTTTAACGACTTCGGAGTCGGGGATTCGGGATGCCTCGAGACTTCTGAGGGCTAATTCGGAGCTCGGGGCCGCTGCTACACAGCTTCACTTTGCATCTCATGGCTGTACGACGCGCAGTCACTTCTAGAAGTCGGTAGTCGACAAGCCGAGAGAGAATCACGTGCTTCATGGAAGCCTGCGCAGTTGACAAGCCCGCCGGAGCGGTCGTTTCGAGATTTCATACTTTGATAATGTAGCTGAGGCTGGAGTGTCTTCGACAGCAGATGGAACAGGACCTCGGTGATGTCCACACGATCGACTGAACTCGGGTTTCACATATCAGGCAGGCTTCATTGCCGCGCACTAGCCTGGCTGCACAGGTCGAGGGTGGATGTGGAAAGGGCGTGTTGATACTGTTGAGACATGGTCAGGCCTGGAGGCCTTAGGAAGTTCTGCGGAGCTGCCTGCCTGAAATTCGACGAAAGCAGACGAAAGCCAACACCAGGAGTGTTGAGCTGGTGGGAAAGCCTTGCGGTGGGGATTGCTCCTCTCAGTTTCGACGTCAATTCCTTGATGTTGTAAAGACAGCCCTGGCACTAGAGAATTGCAATGGACATTTCATTGAGATCGCTTATTCTAGACCCTAAACGGTAAACCCTAAACCACAGGCCCAAGTTGCAAGATTTGCCGTTGAAATGCTGAAGGGCTGCCTTCCCGAGCCCGGTTGGCGTTTCTTTCGTCGCGGGGCCACTCCTTCGAGTGGAGAAACCTCGTGGTTCTCACGAATGGTTTAGGGCTTAGGCTCGCAGCCTTCGAGGGTTTAGTTTTAGCATTCCCTCTCAACCACCCTGGCCGATCTTCAATCAATGATAAATGCATTTCCTAACGGACGACGTTTTTGGCCAGCCATACGAGAGACACCACCTTAAGCGCCCTAAGCCGTGAATGTGAACCAGGGGAACGCTGCGCCTTTGAGCGGGCGCTGAAGGGGGGTTTGGCATGTAAACGCCGCAGCGGACGGCTGCCAAAGCTAGCTGCTGCTTGTTGTAGCATCTAGTCTTTCTATGATTCTATAGCATGTCCGTTGGCGGGTTTTGGGCTTCGGCTCAAGCTAGCAAGAGTCGACCATTTGTTGTAGCTTTCAATCGTCAGCCAGTTGTATTTTACGTGCAGGATATCCTAGCTGGAGTAGTCATATTTGATGTCATAGGAACCAAAGTTGCAACCCAGGTGTTGCACGCCCGCAGTGCTGTGCACACGAAGTCGTACACCTGGCAAAGCTGTTCCAAGTTATGCTCGAAATCGATTTGGCCTATGGACGTCCGGTTCACTAAAAGCACGCAGTGCCATAGTTGGCAGTGTCCCCTAAACCCTAAAACCCTAAACCTGTTTTTCATCGGCAGGACCTGCAGTTTCATTTGCTCACCACCCACGGGATGTGTCAGCACGCAGTTGATCTCCGGTACTTGCTGCAGGTTTAATGGCAAAATAAGATTAGCAAGAATAGCAATCAGTAGTAGTAGTAGTAGTAGTAGTAGTAGTAGTAGTAGTAGTAGTAGTAGTAGTAGTAGTAGTAGTAGTAGTAGTAGTAGTAGTAGTAGTAGTAGTAGTAGTAGTAGTAGTAGTAGTAGTAGTAGTAGTAGTAGTAGTAGTAGTAGTAGTAGTAGTAGTAGTAGTAGTAGTAGTAGTAGTAGTAGTAGTAGTAGTAGTAGTAGTAGTAGTAGTAGTAGTAGTAGTAGTAGTAGTAGTAGTAGTAGTAGTAGTAGTAGTAGTAGTACATAGTAGTAGTAGCAGCAGCAGTAGTAGCAGCAGCAGCAGTAGTAGTAGCAGTAGCAGTAGTAGCAGTAGCAGTAGCAGTAGCCAGCAGCAGCAGTAGCAGTAGCAGTAGCAGTAGCAGTAGCAGTCGTGGTAGTGGTAGTGGTAGTGGTAGTGGTAGTGGTAGTGGTAGTGGTAGTGGTAGTGGTAGTGGCAGTGGCAGTGGCAGTGGTAGTGGTAGTGGTAGTGGTAGTGGTAGTAGTAGTAGTAGTAGCAGCAGTAGTGGTAGTGGTAGTGGTAGTGGTTGCGATTGTGATTGTGGTTGTGGTTGTGGTTGTGGCTGTTGTTGTTGATGATGTTGCTGGTGTTGGTGTTGATGTTGTAGTAGTAGTTGTTGTTGTAAAAGCAACAACACTATACTGCAAACTGCTGCGGCGAGACATGCGTTCGAGAGAAACGGGGACTCGGTCTCGATCGGTGAAAAGAGGGGTTGCAAGCACTGCACTTTCCCTTTGCTGGGTCTTCACACAGAGACCTACGATTCCGAGCTTCGGATGGGTCGTCGTTCCACAAATTTCCGCAAGCTGTGCTTGCGGGGCTTTTCTGCAGACCTTGTAAGAGTGGGCCACAGCGACGCCATCCTCTTGAAAGATCCACAAGCTTTGTCTGGCATTCTTGCAGCGTAGACCCTATAAATTCTTAAACCCCTTATTTCTTACCTTTGTGAAAGACTGCTTTGATTCTGTTTTTGGGCGCCTTCTAGACTCATCCGCAGCTCCGTTGCGCAAGCTTTGTGTGGCGGGAGCCGCAAATCCAAAGTTGTGACTTGATTCCATGCGCAGCCTTGGCACAGCAGGTCAAAGTTTAGAGTATAAGTTTCCACCCGACCTTGCTCAAGTATGCTGAGTGCGGAATCGCGCTAGAGGCAGCATGTCAACATGCAAGTCACTGAAGCCGCTGACCGTGCATATCTGCAACGCGTACCTGTTCGTGAAGATCGAGTGCCTTTGCCTGCGACCCATGAAAAGTCGTTGCCAACGAAACCGCACGGAACAAAACAGCAGTAGCAACTGCAGAGACAAGATGGCCATGACGGTACTGACCGTCACCGGCAGTATCACGGCAACAAGTTAATAAGAACGGTAGTAAAACAAAACGTGGACGGCAGATCCCAACGCCATCTTAAAGCTCCTCGATTTGTACAGCCGTGGATGCTGCCTTTGGTACGTCACCCGCAGACACGTCCGTTGCAGCGGACGCCCGTGCGCTGCTTCGATGAGGTCGGCCGGTTTGCGGGTTTCGGACGAACGTCCATATAACCGTGACACATCCAAATCAGACGGTTGCCGAAGCCCCAGACGACGGGTTGCCAATAACATGCTCTGCATAGTCCGAGACCTTCGTATCAAGCTTCGAGTTGCGCAATGGCCTGCCTGCAACCTTTGTGCTGGTCATGTTCTTCAGGCCGAGCACCGTGCAAATCGCTCTGAGACCCCGTAAATGACCATGTAAGCCGCTTCATGAGCTTTATAATGAAGCCCCATATGCCCCAAACATCCGCATATTCTACGGCCAAAAGCCCTATGGGACTACCACTGCTCTCAGGCGCCATCGTCCTCAAGGCCATCTTGCGCCGCGTTGTTCTTTGTTCTCGGGCCTTGGGCTCCGAGCTTTGGTTCGGGGTTAGTTCCAGCACTTTGTGGGTCACATGGGTAGCTTGAATCTCACACAGCTCGTCCAACAGCGTGGCCAACTTCTGGCAGAAGGACAGCAGACAAGGAAAATGGGGCGGGCTAACTGCTCAAATTCTCGGATGCTGAGATTTGAAAGCTGATTTTGCCTCGAGTCTTTGGAAGCTCAGTCAATCCGCATCTCTCTGCCATGGCATCAGCATTGCTCTGGCTTCAGCTTGCCTACTCACTGGCTGGCCCAATCGATGAGCATGGCTGCGGTGAGACTTCGTCCCTGCTGCAAGCAAAGCTCGGGAACGCAAAGCATTGGGTGCTAGCTGATGTAGGAGACACCTGTGACGATGCTTGTGCCGCGAGGGGCAGGAGCTGTGACCCGGAGACAACAGTTGGTGATATCAGTGACGCAGAGTTTGATCAGCTTGTCAAGGACAACCACCTGACGATGGACGAAAAGTTCAGCTTGTTTCCAAACGACGTTGGCCCATACACGCCAACGGTCCAGATCATGCGTGGTGCAGTGAAAAGGCGATACCAGGTGTGACAGCCCGATCACAAGAAGACCTGCTCAGCAGAACCTTTGAGTTCAGGACATCGCCCAGATGAACTGTCCTATCGCAGTGTGCTCTTGTGGTGAGAAATGCCAACTAGGAGAGAACGGCCTGTCGCTGGTTGCATCAGTGGACTTTTCTATGGCTGTACTGGACCCGCTTCATCAGTTCGCCTGTTTGTCGGCGACGAGGGCTCAATCTGTGAGTATGTGTCACACTCGCAGAAAACTCACGGACAGTTGGTACAGGCTACTGCGAGATTGAGGAAGCAAGATTTGAATCGAACATCCTGGGTGACCCAGGTGCATCTCATCTTACCATCCAAGTGCACAAGGGTGAGACTCGGGCAGGACTACTATCACAAGGTCCCCATGAGGCACAACAGTCACTTGCCGATGACCTGGGCTTCAAGCACGTTACCAGAGTGTGAGTGTTGGCGGGAGCCAAGCTCGCGATGATGAGAGACGTGAGTCCAATGTGATTCTTTGCGTTTCATGCTTGTTTCATAATTTCAGCAGGCGCATGCGGCGAAGCTTGACTGTTAGAGAATCTTCTCGCTTTGGGCCGGGTCTCGTGTGCCTGTTGAGTCATTGTTTCTGGTGCACGAATTTAGAATAGCACTGCGAGTTCCAAGTTGTGAGCCTTCAAAGATTCAAAGATCGGCATTGTTGTTTGGATGGTGAAGATGGCTTTCCTTGCGGATGTTATCCTGGCACAGATTGCACAGCGCCGGCTCCCCTATAAGATCTCTAAACCCAACTTATCCTTAATCCCGAAACCCTTCAGCGACCCAACAAAAAGACTCTGCTAAAGGATGCCGACTCGTTCTGTCATTACAAGTGCCAACCCAAGACAAGTCAACATGGGAGAATTGCAGGTTAGGGCTGATGTTCTTGGGTTTTGGGCTTCAAGTTCTCATTCAGGGCTTACGGGGTTGATAAGCGCGGCGGGGAGAGTAATCGATGTCGTTTCATGCTGTACAATTGCCAACAGCTCCCCAATGCCGAAAGGTGCTACGAGTTTGAATGGCACATCTGTGCTGGTCATCGTTCTGCAAGAACTCGAGAGATGACAGAAAGCATGCGGCGGAATGCGACTCACGGCACGTAATATAGGGGCCTCAATAATTACCTATGCTTTTTGGGTTCCTTATTATAGTTATCATGTATTAAGGCCCCTAAAGTATGCAAAACCGCATGCGACCATGCACACAATTAGTTTTCGGGGCAACCACGGTCGCCCCAGCCCCGTCAGATTTCAACTGTTGCTTTGGCATCTGGCTCTCGGGTGAGGGCTGAGTTTTTCCCAGAGTCTTGGACATCTTGTGGGCTTACGGTACGGGTCATTCTCCTTGGGTAGTTTAGCCCCCGCACAATTCCTCTATAACTAAAAAGGGTTAACCTTTAGTTCCCCATGATACCCGACAAGTAAGTTCTCTTTATCCTATAAAAGGGCATTCCTGGCGTCAAAATTCAGTAGGGGCCCCCGACATGGCTCTGGGCATCCTTGCACCCTGACTCTACCCAGAGGCTCCATGGTAGTTTCTTTTTGGGATGACCTTATAGGAGTCGAAATACGAGCCCCCAAAGGGAACTACTTTGGGGCCTTTGGGTAAACCCTAGGCCCGGTAGAGCTCCTTCGCAGCATTCCCGGGGATCCTTTCAAAATGGTTTGCCAGGATGAAGGCCTGCTCCACTTGCGTCTGCACCTCGACGATTCCGCAGATTCGCGCAGAGGCGGTCTGCGAATGGTCTAAATCAAAATTGCTGTGGTGATCAAGGGCGTAGGGTGACCGCCCCCTCTGGCCATCTGCACTCTTCTTCTACCGGGACTGCTCTTGGTTGCATTTCGGGCTCCTTTATCGGCGCTTTCATGGCCTCCTTTGAGTGCCAAGGTGCTCCGAGTCGAGGTTCCCGACAACAAGTCACTAAGCCATGATCCCAAATGGGAGTTTTCGAAAATAGGGGGACGCTAAAATAGTACCCTAAATAGTAGGATCCTTATTACAAGGACCCCCAAGTGGGTACCCCTAATTTTCGGAAATCAGTGCCTGACACTGAACTCCTACTAAGTCGCATGATTCTTCGAGTCGGGGTTGGCTTGTCGGCTACTATAGGGGCCTAAATAATTACCAACACTATTTTGGGGCTCCCTTATTGCCTTATTATAGGTATATATCGTATAATGGGCCCCCAAACCCTATACTAATCATTATGATACCAAGCATCATGGATCCTGCCTTGCTTTCAGAAGGCCTGAGACTTCGCGATGCGCAGCTTCTCTCTCAACGCCTCGACAGTAGCGCATCCTCCTTCCTAGTGTCTCTGACTGGAGATCGTGGTCGGGCTGTGCATCAGATCACCAGAGGCTCGAGGCATCTGGATGCAGAAGTATGTCCAGTCCATCAAGTTCTGTGTATGCTATGTGTATGGTCACACAGTATATGACACAACTTGACCGGTCTGAATCATGCCGCTGACAGAGATTCCACCATTCAGACATCTGGCTAATTTGTCAGTTGCGTTTGCAGCTTCGGTCATGTGAGGTGTAATCTTAAACTCTTAAGCCTCTAAGCCCTATAGCCTCAATGAAGCCCTGAGAGAGGCCGTGCCCTTCCTCCTTGCCGGGGCGTGCACCACCGCTGTGGCGCGAGGCCATCGAAGTTTTTCGTTTAGCACAACGGATTACTAATCAGGAATCGGATCAATTAGTAACAGTATCCCCTCTAGACTCTAGTCCAGGTTATCAGTCTAATGCTTATTAAGGCCCCTATCCCATGATACATTCTTGTAGACGATTGGTATACCCGGTTCAAACCCAGGATGTGTTGTGGAGGAGTGCGCGACAAACAACTGCGACGGTTTTTGGGCCGGTCATCAGCAGCTGCTGGCGACTAGATTGGTCGAATCCCTTGCTGCTCTAACACCCCGTGGCCTTGAATCGTTCGGACCTTGATAGGTACCATTGATGCCCCGAAGCGAAGACTAGGCCAGTCCAGAATGTCATGAATCGGGCCGACATGCCGCTCCTGTCCGAGAAGATGCTCACACGGCCCTGAACGGAGGCTGCGAGAGAAGCCCGGCTTTTCGACGCGGCTTCAGGACCGAAAGACGTCAGCTGAGGGTTCAGTTCATGTTAAGTGAGTTCAGATGTTACAGTGTTACCTGCCATCAGCAGCTCGTTTGCTCATGGTTTGCATGCCAGCAGCTATACTCAGACGCATGCGTACAGGCTCGCAAAAATGTCCACCTGCCCACCCACCCACCGGCAGCCACACGCAAGCACTTTCTAGGAACCCCCATTAAGGGGTCTACTTTTTGGATCATCCCGGGGGTCTGGGCTGATGATGCTTCAACATGTCCGCAAAGGAGCAGGCGGCGTGCACGGCGCTCTTCGTCTCTTGGCTGACACAGCGAGTTGACGTGATTTTCACCATGCGGCCATCATATAATATTAAACCAGAGATTTATGCCAAGACTGTAACAGGCTCATGCCGCACGCTCAGTTGATTGCAGGATGCAACTTCACAGGCACCTGTGCTTGCAATTTCAGGTGTGACCTTTTTCGATCCTAAAAACAAGATAACCTCAAAAAGCGTTTGCTTTCTTTTGCTATAGGATGTCTGCTTCATCTGTGACGGCCGCATGGGGAAGGAACTTCAGGGTCGGACGCAGTAAAATGAATCGGATTCCCGTGAGTTCCTTATTGTAGCTCGACGGTTTCTTGGCTTCGGGAGATCTAGAAGTAGATGACCATTGTACCATCAGCATTTCTGGTCATTATCTACTATTACGTACTATTGGTTGTTGTGACTATCTACAACTATAACCGCTGTCACTATTGCTACTACCATTGCCGTCACAATTACGATTGCGATTACGAATAGTATTACTTTTTTGTCATGACTGTTTCATGTTTTCTACTATCATTTTGTGTTTTATGTTTACTCTTGTTGTAGGGCTGATTGCAACAAGAGTGGGATCTGCAATTGACAGGTACCAGCATTCGTCAGCTCTCTGGCTGTTTACTGCCATAGGTTGTCATCGGCTTTCTCTGTCTAGATTTCTTTAGAACTACAGATAGAAACGTGAGCAGAGGCTAAGACTGATTCTCGCATGGGCATCAACAGCGACAAAGCCCCAAGCAACATACCATGAACCCTAGTCCTAAATCCCTAAGCCTGAGAAAACAAAACTTGAGACCCTGAACATCAAAGCTTGACACCTAACCCAGAAGCCCTAAAGCCCCCCCAGCAAGAATCAATTCTTGAGATCCCGACCTTCGAACCTTAAGCCGTGGTCCTCCATGAAACGCGGGCTGGGATGTTCACGTAGCCTCTATAAGTTTTACAACTTGTCGGGTCTACCCATAGGCTCAAAAGTAGTTCCTTTTTGTGGTTCATATTTAGGATCCTATAAGGTACTCCCCCCAAAAGGAGCTACTGTGGAGCCTGTAGGTAGGTTGAGGGTATGAGAAGTAGGAGGGCCTCTCCGAACCCCATCCGTGCGCGAAGTATCGAAAGACCGGGCTCCCCGAAATCCCGTGACCTCCGACATCTTAATCCCTAGCAATGAAGTAGGTAAGCTTTAACCTTTTTGGGGTACGGACCGTAGTATAGTCCCCATATAATCCCTATACCTGGACCCCCAAAGTATGTAGAATAATAACCTTCATTTTACCTACTTTGAGGGGTCTAGGTATAACCCACAAGGTTAACCTTTAGATCCCCATGATACCCGACATGTAGGAATCTTCTGAACCCGAGCCCTTCCACCCTGGACACCGAACATTCGCCACGGAACCCAGGAAACGTCACCCCACTAAACCCAAGTCAAACCCATCCCTGAATGAAATATTGTAGACCTTAAACTATAGTAGGATCCGTAATATGATTTAAGGTATATATTTCCTTCATGAACCGTCAACTCTAGTTAAACCCCATCCAAACACAAACTTCACACCCGAAACCCTATAAAATCCCTAAACCTAAACC